CCTGCGATCTGCGGCTATGGGCATCCGCCTCAGACGGTGGGTGCGGGACGGAAAAGATCAATTTGGGGAGCACTGTGCACGGATCATATTTTTCAGAAAATCATTATTCCGTTCTTTGTGGTTATAGAAACTAACGAGCTGCTTGCGGAGTGCACTACTTGCCTAAACTTTAGAGATGTTCGCTTATGGTTAATTACATGCAGTCACCCCAGCAGGCAAGGTCTTTAGTCAGCATCCGTCACCATTCTGCGTCCCGCGCTTCTGCCCAAATAAATCAATGACTGGTGAGTCCAGTCTGGACAACTTGGTGAGACACTGTCTCAAAATTTAAAAAGGGCTGATGATGTAGCTCAGGGTGAAGCCCCTGGGTTCGAACTCCAGTACCACAAAATAAATAAGTAAAATAAATAAATAAAATGACGACAACAAAAAGAAGAAAACAGAATGCAAGGCGGCTTGGGGGAGGCAGAGTTACTGTTTGATGGGTATAGAGTTTGAGTTTGGAAGATTAAAAAGTTCTGGCAGTGGAGGGTGTACAACAATATATTTAATGCTATTGAATTGTATGCTTAAAATGATGAAAATGAAAAAAATAGTGAAAATTATCTATATATAGCGAAATATATACACATGTGTATAAACGTGTGTAAATATACGTGTGTGGACATGCATCTACATAACAAGTACAGTTTATCACCTCTGCCACCATTGTCAGACCCAAAGATGCCCTTGTCCCCGAAGCCCAGGCTGTGCTTTTTGTCCTTAGGGTCACTTGGTCACTTGGGTTGAGTAGGGAGAGGCAGAGTTGCTGATCTTGACCTCCATAACCAGCTAAGCTGACCTTGAACTCACTATGGAGTCCAGGCTGGCCTCAAACTCATGGCAATCCTCCTGCCTCAGTCTCCTGAGTGCTGGGCTGGGATTACAGGCCAGGCGGGCATCTCCACATCCAGCTCATTTGATTCCCACCACTGGATGCTCTCTGAGTGCTGAGTCTGAGTCAGCTGCCTTTTCTTAAACTGTAGCCATTACCAGAAGAAAGGAAACATTTGCACCAGACTTCTTAGAAACTGACAGCCAGCAGGGTTACTTCCTGCACACGTTTGTGGTGGATCTAGACCTACATTCCACTTCCAGTGCTCAGCCTGCAATGGTGGCTCTGAAAGCCACAGCTCATAGCAGCAGAATTAGCAGTGTGTTTTGTTTTCTTGCTCTACTTACCAGCATTGGGCTATCTGACCTGAAGGAGAGGTTCCCGGAAGTGTAGGTGGAATTATGGAGAAGGCAAATCATATTTTGAAGGTTACTGGCAAGTCAGGCATGCTAGTGCACATGTGTAATCCCAGCACTCTGGGAGGCTGAGGCAGGAGGACTGCAAATTCAAGCCCAGCCTGGACAATTTAGTGAATCAGAAAAAGGGTGGAGGGCTGGGGATTTAGCTCAGTAGTGCTCCCACCGGCCTCATAAGTGCAAGGTCCTGAGTTTGATCCTCAGTACCAAAAAAAAAAAAAGAAAGAGGGTGGATGTAGCTCAATGCAAAGGCCCTGGGTTCAATCCCCAGCACCATACCAAAAAAAGAAAAATAAATAATAATAGAGGTCATCAGAAGAAATCATAGAAACAATGTTGTTGGACAGGGAATAAATTCTTTTCTTTTCTTTTTTTTTTTTTTTGGTACCAACAGGCGGCGAAACCACTGAGCTAAATCCTTGGCCCAGACAGGGAATAAATTATCTTCTGTTTCAGTAAGATATACATTTTACTCTGAGCGTGGTGGCACATGCCTGTCATCCTAGAACTCAGGAAGCTGAAGCAGGAGGATCACCTCGAGTTTGAGGCCAGCCTGGGCTACATATCGAGACCCTGTCTAAAAAAGGGGGGGCAGGGATTTAGCTCAGTGGCACCTCATGTGCTTCACAAGTGTGCAAGGTGCTGAGTTCCATCCCCAAACAACTAAACAATTAAGTTACTTAACACCCAGATCAGTATCCTCTTTAAGTGGATGTTCTGCCTCTACCATCCCAGGCCAGTCAAACAAAGGTCACCAAGGAAAATGCCCTTAATCCTAGCATTCTCGGCAGCTGAGGTAGGAGGATCGCAAGTTCTAGCCCACCCTGGGCAACTTGGTAACTTATCGAGACCCTGTCTCAAAATTTAAAAATTAAATGAAGTGAGGGCCAGGGATTTAGCTCAGTGGTTCTGCCACCTGCCTCGAAAGGACAAGGTCCCAAGTTCGATCCTCGGTAC